GGGGTGGGGTACACTCTCCTCTGAATTCTCTCCCAATGCACCCTCAAATTCACTCAAGCAGGGTGTCCGGGGATAGACTTACCAATGGCCAAGAGCAGAAGAACTATTTCATATAAAGTTTGCCTTTTTCACAACAGCATGATGTTTTTGACCATGTCCAGCCTGTGGTCCAATGTAATCCCTGACTTTTTTTTTTTTTTGGCAGAATTGCTGCCTAGTCAGTTGTTGTTCATCCTGTACTTGTGTAGGTGATAATTCCTGTTTAAGCATGAACTTTGTTCTTGCCCTGATTAAACTGCATTCTATTTCTTTTTAAGGCCATTTCTCCAGTTGCCAGTATCATTTTGACTTGCCATTCTGTTCTACTCCACTCTGTCAACCTCCTGGTACCACTGTCGTCGTCCTAGAGCATGAGCACATTTTAGCAGTGAACTAAGCAGCTTAACTATACGTCTATCATATGCTTGTTCTCCCGTCACCTCTCAAAAGATTATCATCTTTCAACATGGAAGCTAGCCATCCCAAGACAGTGAAATGGCTTCTGGTCCAATATATGCCCACACATCAAAATATGGCTTACCCAGAGCAAGAGCTTATTTAGAGGGATTAAAAGCTCATTTGATCAAGGACTAGCAGTACCACGTGCTTCGAGTTAAGTGTCTTTGAAAAAGATGGAGACGCTTTGCTTGTGAGTGAAACCAGCACGTTTTCCAAAAAGCTAGTAACACCAACATTCTGTAATAAAAGCCTACATCCACAGGCACCAAAAAAAGTGAGGACCCTCGGTCTTAAGTGTCACATCTTCTCCCTTATGGTATTACTACATTATACCATAATGTCTCTGCCTCAGGCTCAGATTTTTATTTGTGTAAAGAACAAGTGACAAGGGAACCACTGAAGACAATATTAACAGTAGCAGAGTTCTACTCCAGAGTTAGAATAGATTTCTGCATACTCTCATACTCGGATCTAAAAACATACCAAGGAAAAAAACATACCAAAATAAAAGGGCAACACAAATGAACATAGTACGAAAAGTATTTGTGCCCAGTGCAGACTTTCCAGGGAAAAGGAATACGCATGGCAACTGATGAGCAAATCAACACAAGCTAGAAATAAAATTGGGAACAAGGGTGTGGGGTCTTTTCAGTCTGGAGTTCTCACATGCAGCATTCTATAACAGTTAAAAAAAATCTTACCTGCAGAATCTGTAATCAAAGCCTCACAGAACACACACAGCAATTTCATACTTATACAGTAGCTCAAATTATTCTAATCCCTTCTTCAAATCAAACCAACAGCTTGATCCCTAGTAACTTCATATATACATACATACACCACCTTCCCGAGTGAGATTAAATGCTTACTTCCATAATATAGTCTTGTTCTGAGGATGTTACTTCCATCCATAAAAAAAACCTAACCCATCATTCTGCTTAAGTGCACTCAAGATATAAAATAAAAGCTTTAAAGACAAATATGCCCTTGCATATTTTAGTCCCCCCCCTAGACTCAGTCACCATGCAAAAATAGCCCATTAACTACTCCCACGTGGGATTTGTATCACATGCAAAACAAAACATACATGGAAGATTGCCTGGCAGACTTTTCTCTCACCTTTCAAGAGAAATACAAAATCAAGTAATTCCATGCATTTGCCATACTGTAAATTCTGGCTTACCGCTGCAGGTGGCTGATATCCTCCATGCTGCTGTGACTGCACTTGGCCAACTGAAGCTCCATATCCCTGTACTGCAGGTGTTGAGATTGACTGGTCATGCTGGGAACCATACGACACAGTCTGTTGACTGCTCACACATGATTCAGTATAAACAGATGACCCCTGGCCACTGTCAACTGTCCCATCAGCTGCAGAAGTTAAAGATAAAAATCTGTGTTTCAAGAACTGCAGTGTGGATTCATAACTTCAAAGATATTATAATCAATCAAATATTGGATTGATGTTTGTGACATGTTACATGGACCTTAGCATATTATGTTTTGTAATATTTAAGCTAGTTTAAAAATACATTTTTTTTCTTCCTCAATACAGCATCCTTACCAATATGTCTTCCCCTAACCTCTGAAGAAATCAGTAATTTCAGTAGTTCTTTACAAAGATACTTAATAGTAAACTATGCTTCCTATAAAAGGCTAGACCAGAAATAGAAACTTAAATTCCACATTGTTATGAATGATCTTTCAGGGGGGTTTAATTATTATTTTTATTTAATTTTACACAGATATATAAAACAGGTCTGTTGTGCTGGCTGGCAGATGCACCTGATGTAGGAATAGTAGTGAATTTAAAATCCCTATTACCTACAGAGCAGACAGTAATTTGCTTTCTAACTTCACCATTCTAATATGGAAGTTCTCATCTACCATCATTATTCAAATACTGATTCGAATGTTGGGATGGCAGAAGAGGAAAAGTTAGGAGTGTTAATTCATCTTTTCATGTATAGTATGTAAAACAGAAAATGAAACCTTTTTTTCAGAAAGCAAATTATGAGCAGAACTGCTTGTACATTAATCTCATTTCCACCTTAAATGTAAGTTAACAGGGATTCAAATAAGTGTTTCTAATAGCTCTAACTGCGCACTAGTGCAAGAGTATACAGCCTTCTGCAGGGCCAGAATATACTGTCCCTATAGGAAGGCAGCAAAAACTAGGATATGTGTTCATGCTTCAGGTGCCCAGGTTCATTTGGTGTATTAACTTCAAACAAAGTAAAATGACTTTGTGCTGACACTGGGACTGTGAATTGTGCCAAGACCTGGCTCAGCTAAAGCACAGGAACACATCTTACTTTGCTGTGCTTTCTAGTGGGCCAATGTTCTTCAGCAGACAGCAATAGCAGACAGCAACATCTTAAGATATTTACTGGTATACCCACCAAAAGTTTAAGACTCTTAAGGGGGGGAACTGTGTAAGTGCAAGAGCTCCTAAATAAACCAACACACTTACAAAGAATAGATATACTGGGTTGCTGGAACTGCAGTTGTTGGTGTTGATCAGCTTCTGGTTCTTCAGGTTCCACTTGTGTAGAAACCGATGCTGAAGTAGTGGGGACAGGAGCAGTACCAGTGACAGATAGGGGATGCTTTGACCCTGCATGGGAAGCACTTGATGGTTGCTGTTGCTCCAGCTGCTGCTTCTGACTACCTTCTTCCTGAAGCTTCTTCTCCTGTTCTTCTCGCACCAACTGACGCTGCTCTCGCTTTCGCTTTATCAAAGATACCCTGTCCTTGATAGCTTTCGCCATTGTCTTGTGATCCCCTTCACAGACATAGCCAGATTCCACCTGAAGGAGGATATATTCACAGAATTCAGACTGTCATAGACAGCCACTGTTGTAGTGCTACAATATAAGCTACCACTCTCTGGCACTAACTTCTCATTCACAGACTTCTGAAGCTGTTTTATTTCTAGACAGTAACAACAGCAAAGGCAGAGGCTGACAGACTACATTTCACTGTCAAAGAACACCAATACTTCCAATGCTTTGTAAGACCACCAACACTTACCATTTCCTGTGCCACATCCTCTGGGACATCTCTCTCCAAGTCAAAGGAAAACTCTATTGCCTCATTATCTTTATATTTGCCCTTGAGTTTTTTGATGTCTTCAATTCGCAGCCAGAGTTTAATGGCAATTTTTTCTCCATCATCTTCCTCTGCTAGTTCTACCCGTACTCCAGTCTCTTCTTGGAAGAAAGCATGATTCAAAAGGTCCTTAATAGCATATCTAGTATATTGGGGAAGAATGTAGAAAGCACATACAGTTACTAGGTTTTCATAAAATATTAAGGAATATACTTGCCTGATGATCCCCCACATTTATTCTCTACATTTCACGCTTCTCCCATGAATTATGTGACAGCCCATCATTCAAATTTCTATTTAAAAGCATGGTGGAGAAACAAAATGCAATAATACAGATGTACAAAAACAAAAACAAAAAAAATCACACATTGGTCAGCGGCAGTACCAACAGATTTAAGCCAACTGAAGAGGATATACATTAACTAAAATAAAAAGAAACCTTGAAGAAACAGTTTGGTTTTACTGAACATTAAGATCCAACACACAACCCTTAGTCCTCAAATCAGTACAGTAACAAGTATGTATTTCAGTCTATTTCAAGATCCTATCAAGAGCCTCATCTAGTAAATTCAGCACTAGATAAGCACCACGTTATTCTTTTCATATTTTATACTATTTTGAACCACTTCAACTTGCATTCTGTTTGACCCAATTAGAAGCTTTGTCTTGAAGGTACAAAAAAGATCTATGTTCATACACACACAGCGTTAACAGTAGTAGTCTAAAAGTTAACCGCTTAAACTAAATGGCAAGAAATAAGTGATGTGCAGCCACAGAACTAACTTACAGTAAGGAAAAAATAGGAAATTGTTTAAAACTAAGAAAAAGAACAGGGATTAAAAATACATAGCAATGCCATCAGATATAAAACTTTGAGTTAATAGAAGGGGATGAATAAATATCCATAAACTGACAAAACTAGCTCTGAACAGAATAGCAGGAGGCTAGAGGAGGGGCAAAGGCTGAAGCATTCTCAAATCAGACATTCAGTAAGCAACAACTGTGTAAAAGCAGAAAACAAAACAAACCCCACAAATGGTGGGGTATATAATGGTATAAGTTAGTCACTTCAAGTAGAAGTCATCTTGCAGAAAATGTGGATGAAAATGAACAGCAAGAATTTAAAAAATAAGAGCCCTCAAAATAATCAGCCATAAAATGCTGACAAAATCAAAGGGACAGGAAAAACAAAGGATTACAGAATAACAAACCAACCAAACAATGCAAATACCTGGGAACCCGGAAGGATGTCCTCCACTATTTTGCTGACTAGGTCAAAGTTTTTATTAAAACAGTAGAATTTCTGAATAAACGCACATGGATGGTTACTATAGCATTTGCCCTTTTCTTGACACTGTTACTTCTCCAAAACAGTCATTGAATAAGAATCTACCAAAGAATAGAAGCTGCAGAAGTAATACTGGCTTCCCAACTCTCATCAGAACACAGAAGACCCCAGGAACTAACTGGATCTGGTATCATCACAGATAAGAGACTCAGATAGCAAAGAGACTCAGACAGCAAGTAGTGTCTCTATGTGAAAAGAAAGTACTTACCTTTCGCCTTTGTTTTGCCGAATGCATCCCTCAATAATCTCCTTCACTTCAGGGATTGCTACTTTATCAAAGCTGGCTGGCTTGACACCCTGGAACATACAAGTAACAACAGAGAAACTGGAAAGCCCACTTGATATAAGTTTTGATTGTGTTTACAGACCAACTATTTTTACTCAATAGATAACTGGCCTGAATTCCCCACTAGTGCAAATTATAGAGAAATCTGACCCCAACCTTATCGTTCATCTGTTTGTCAGTGACTTTTGCAAGCTTTTTTTTCCCCCACTATTTCTCAGCTACACTTCCGTAACAGAAGGTTTTGGCATTTAGGTTCTCAGTTAAGATAGGAGAACTGTCTAGTTTCCATGGAAGTTATGCTGGTTAGAGACAAGTATGCAAACTGGACTGAGAATGGAAGGAAACGTTTCCTACGTAACACTAGTGCACAAACCCACATGGTTAATTTAACAGCCTTCAAAGGATTCTGGTGCTTCCCAAAATGTCTCCAACATGCCTTTATATGAAGTAATTTTGACATAGATTGATTTTACAGGAAAAACATTAGCCCAGAATGATCTGACTGGATCATTAAGTAACTTGTCCAATGTTTGGGGTTTTTTTTAAAAATAAAAATTTAAAAAAAAAAAAAAAAGAGAGAGGAAAAAAAGAGGAAATTTTAAAAAAAAAAGACTTCCCTGTATCTTAGCTCTCCCCAGAAGATCTACTATACTCAAACCACACTCCTGCATCACTGCTGTTGTGAGTTGAGGAAAATGAGCTTAGCAATACAGACCTTCAACAACACACGGCAATTCTTTCTCCAATACATGCTAAAGCCATTACAGGAAGAGCAAAACAAAATCTAAGTATGATCAGCTACTCAAATCAGTAAAGCAAATAAGCCATGAGATATGACCATCTGGGAATTCTGCAAAACATTGCAGGCAGAGCGCCAAACTTCATCACTTAATCATGGCCAGAAGCTCTATTTCAGGGACAGTTGTCTACAACAGCAAAATCTGGCATTCAATTTTACTTTATTCAGCTTTTAGCTGCAAACTCTGTATTTAAGACAGCAGAATAAGAGAGGATGAATACATCCTGTTCAAGTTCTGTCATATGAAGAGTCCATGTTTTCAAGCAGAACAATCCTGAAATCATACACTTGATACATCTGACCCTGTGTCACTAGTAAATCACAACTAAACAAAAAGTGAAAACTCTAGAATCTGAAATAAAGACATAAATGAAGTAGTATTATAAGCATCATAATTAATATCCTAACCAGTGAGTACTTCTCCCAATATCCTATATGATACTGCTGCTCACCCAATGGGGACATCAAGACATGACCCTTCCCCCTTCCTCTATCATCAGCCCCAAACAAGTCTTGAAATGGAAAGGTTTAAGACTCTGAACCAGAGCCTTTGCAACTACAGACCTTCATTTAACTGAACATGGGAGACTTACGATAATGATTCTCGTCTACATTTAGATTCTTCTTTTCTTCCCCTTGGCCAGACATGGCAGTATATTATTGACTTATGTTCACTACCTAAAATATTCTCTACTGCACTCTTCCAGGAGAGGGCACAGTCAACATCAACTTTAACAGATGCAAACACAAAACTGGGAGAAGCACAACAGTCCAGTCTTTCAGTGGACAACAGTGCTATTTGTTACTTTGTTTTACAAAGTTGCTGGATCTGGAATTTTTCAAAGGAAAAAACAACCCCAAAACCAAAAAGAAAACAAACAAACAAAAACTATAGAAAGACAGTTTTTCACTTTATAAAAACTTGTTACAACAGCATTCTGGTTATTTATTTCTTTGCTCTAAAATTTGCTCTTATGAAATTCTAGTAATTGACATTCACAGAACTGAAGAGTATATTGTGACTAGAATAAGCCCCAAAACACAGTCTGTCAGTGAACATTAGCTTAATGCTTTTTAAAGCCTCACTGAACATTAAGACTTTTGGAGATCAATGCCTCAGCTGATAAGACACCAGACTGAAGTTTGGATGGGTAAGTTTAATACTGTAACCAGGTCATATCAGCTTCCTAGCAGGAGCAGAGCCCTACACTCCCATAGGGATTTATAAAACTAGTTCTAGTGTTTACTACTGGCATCAAGTACCTGTTTACATGTCTCTCTGCTCATATAGCAGGCTAGTCAGAGACACCCACCTTTTAACTATGACCAAGCTTAAAATGGTCGCAAGGACATCAGGTTCATATATGTAGAGATAGATGTTTCTGTACATAATTAAATGCTCTCCTATATACACATACATACATAACCTATGCAATAGTTAGAATTAAACTGCTTACTGTACATATTTGTATCTAAATTTGCAAAAGTTTAATGCATCTAAGTCTCCTAAATAGCTGCAAGCCCCAGACATAGCAGCAGCCTGCATGCATGTTCATTTACACCGTGGAAGCAGAAGGAAGATGTCAGATCTGTGACAATCTCATTTCAGAAAAACTAAAGCTAAGGTAAAACAACTTAACATATTAACATAACAAAGCCAGAGCATGAGTTTTCTTGTTAACTATTTTACCACATGCTCTGCTCCTGCACAAAGCCTGAAAAGGTAAAGCTAAAATCAGTGAATCAGTCTGCTACACTGTGTTTCTCTACCCTGAAAGAGATTAAAATACCTGTCAAAAATCTTCAGGCCCTTCCATGAGGGCCATTTTACAATACACCATTTTGTGAATTTCAAACCAAGAGTTCAGTTAAAAAGAGAAGCTCCTGCCAGCCTCCTCCAGCATAGCTTCTATGTTCCTAACTGCTCCTCAGAAAATCTGGGAGAACCTCACACTAGAGCCTAAAACCAACAGAGGATTCTGTGTTGAAGCAGCTACCTATTTCTCAGTTTGTTCCACAGTCCATGAGAAAGGTTGCCTAAGCCTAGTATACAGTGCTGGCCAAACACCCCTTGCACTGAAGTTCAGGTCACTTAACTACTGTCAGCTTTTAAAAACATTTTTTTTTCCTCCTCCAAGCACTACAGAAGTGTCGAACTATTTTATGTAACAAGGCAGAAGATACTATGAATGATAAAAATCAATAAATCAGTGAACCCTCTTCTACCCAGAGCTGCCTATAGACCTTAATCTGCCATCACAGAGAAACCAAAGGGAGGCCAGGCCCTGCAAAGACATAACCTTGATGTGTCCCTAAAAGCACATGAGCTGTGCAGCCAAGCATACATTCATTAGTTCCTCAACCCAAAGGCACTCAAGTACATACTAAGCCATTCAGCATTTCCTGGGTTTCACCACATATACTGCAAGATGGTCACGTTCTTATATGCCTCTCCTGGTCCCCAAACTCCTTAGAAGAATCACAGGACAACTCAAATCTTTTAATCCACTAGTCCTATTCCCCAGTGTCAGTTTAATAAGAACTAAACACCCGAATCCCCCTAGCATTTTTTCTCAGTTTGCTAAAGAAATAGAAGGAAGAACTCTTGCAGAGGGAAAAAAAAAAAGTGCAGATAGGTATAACAGGCACTCATGGAAGTCATCAACATTTGCTCAAGCTACCATCTAAAATAGCATAAACTGGCAGTGCTGCTGAAAGCAACAGCCTCCTATTCGCCATCTCCGATTCCTACACCCATGTCATTTCCTCCCTTCTGCCAGCACACACACTTATACAGATGCATAATGAACCAGATCAGTGTTTATCAGACTTGAAACAAATCCAAACAAAAAAGCCTGCAGCAGTTTCTAGTGACATGAAGCTCCCCAGTCTGGTTCCCTACACTGCTGCACTCTCAGGCTTACACGAGGGAAGTGATAGCACAATAGCTAAAAAGGGCAGAACTGCTTCTTTTGAAAGAATTGTCAGCTTAAAACAAAACCCACTGAACACTTACTTTTTGAGAGCACCTCTAAAATATAGGCATATATGTAGGTAGCACAAAGCGCAACTGATGCAAAACTAAATACTTACAGTCTTCATGTTAGGCATGAGGAGAGATTTCATGTTTCACTTATCTTAGATGTGGTAAAGTTTGTGATTTTATCAGATTTTAATCAGGCAAAAAAAGTGTGTTCCAAAATTCAACATCCACATTCATATAGTTATTTGGTCCATTAAAGGCAAGTTAGGTACTCTTAAAACCACTAGATTTTCAAGATACTTTAAACACCAAAGTATAAGCTACCCAGAACTCCTCTTCACAATTTTTGCGTAGAAACATATAGTATTTTGCATTAGTTAGATCACTACATTACGGGATCAGCGGTTTAGCATCTGGTTCTAATGCAAGAGATACTGAAAATATCATTTACTTCGTAACAGAAGATAAAATCAGTGCTGTATAACTTTCACACCAAACCAAAACGAAGACAGAGGAAGTGTTACATACCCTCAGCAGTCCTAAATTTAAAAAAAGTTAGATTTGGAATAACAACACAGGTAGAAAATAGCAGAAGCAATAAGTGTTTCAGCCTTGCCATTCAGGAGTTTAATCTACATTTAAAATTTACAGAGAAAAAAGTACACTCAAGTTTAAAAGCTGAAGACCCAAGCTATGCAAACGTAAAGCAGTTCAGCAGATTTGTCAAGAATTCTGATTTGCCCCCAAAATCCTTTCCTGTGACTACACACACACTTTACAGAGCTGAAATTCTTACTTACCTCTTTAGCACAATCCTTGTGAGAGCAGCAGCAGTGGGAATTAACAATTACAAACACGGAACAGAGCTCTCTTTTTGTAAAATCCATCAGGAAGAGAGAGCCGCACACACCAAAGAGTTAGTTAGGTGCTAGTTTCCGATGGGAATCCACTAGGCAGTGGACTTAACGCACAGCGGAAGGAAAGCAGACATCAAAGTTCAAAGGGAGCATTGTTTTCTGTTTGACACCTCTTGTACTTCTCGAAGTCCAGTACATGAGGCTGCAGAGATTTGAGCTTAGTATCTGCTTTTGCCACTCAAATGCTGAATAGAAAGAATCAATGTAAGCAAGAGGTAAGCATGTCCTTTTCTGCCTGCCCAGCTAGCTGTAAGGAGGAGGAAGAAGAGGCAGCGCAGGGATCCTTTACTTCCTGCATGTCCCCGCCCCCCC